TCCCTGTTGAGTGGTCTTGGCGTCCTTGACAAAAATCAATTGCTCAGAGATGTATGGGTTGGTTTCTGGACTCTCGTTTCTAGTTCACTGATCTCCATGTCTAAAAGTACATACTTCCTGATTCCATTTATGTGAAATTCAGAACCAGGCAAACTAATTTATGACGTTAGAAGGCTGAAAGGTGGTTACTTCCAGGGTCAGGAGGCGGGAGGGAAGGGCCACGAGAGAACTTTATAGGAGCTGGGAATGCTCTGTGTGTTGATCTGAGTGGTGGATACTCAGGTGTAAACATATATGAAAGATGATCACTCTGTACCATTAAGATTCATGCAATTAATATCTTTTAGTATATTTATGTTATACGAGAGGCCCTGTGCACGAAATTTGTGCACTTGGGGAGTGGGGTCGTCCCTCAGCCCGGCCTGCACCCTCTCACAGTCCGGGAGCCCTTGGGGGATCCGACTCATGTGAATCAGACATCCTTAGCGCTGCCGCAGAGGCGGGAGGGGTCCTGCCACGGCCGCTGCGCTCACCAGCCATGAGCCCGGCTTCTGGCTGAGTGGTGCTCCCCTTGTGAGAATGCACTGACCACCAGGGGGCAGCTCTTGAATCGAGCGTCTGCCCCCTGGTGGTCAGTAAGCATCATAGTGATTGGTCAATCGCCATTTGGTCAATTTGCATATTAGCCTTTTATTATATAGGATATCCCCAATAGAAAGGAGGGGGGGGGGGAAGAGAGAGAGAGAGAGAGAGAGAGAGAGAGAGAGTATTTTCCTAAGGCCTGCGTGTGTTAAGATTCATCTTATCCCTATGAGTCCAGAAGGGGAAACTGAGGCCCAGAGCTTGCCCAAGTTCAATGGCAGAGCTGGGTGTGGAACCAGGTAGCCTGGCTCTGAGTCTGCATTTGTAAGTGCTCCCTGACACTGCCACCCAGAGCAGAGGGGTGTGGGGCAGGGACTGAATTTGAGGTCCTGTTCCTGTCCCTCACCCTCCTAAGTTCCTTGTTCCCTCTAGGGAAGGTGGGAAAAGCGGTGTCCCCTCCCCCATCAGCCTGGAGCTCCTCTGCTCAGGATGCAAGGGGAAAGCTCTGTGAGCACAGACGGGAGAGGCCCGAGGGTGGGAAGGCAAGAGTTCTGAAAGAGGCCTCCTTCTGCCCAGGCCTCGCTCCCTCCGCTCTCTAAGAGTTTGGCTTTCCTGGAAATCAAGGACTCAGCTGCCCAGAAACTCATCAGACTTGTTTGTGTCCCAAGGAACCAGGCCAGAGCCAAGCTGAAAGGAGTGAGTGCCACGGGCACGGGCTCGCCTGCCTGGCAGCTTCCTGCTGCCCTGCTCCGTGACACCTCAGTCTGCCTGCCCTGCAGGGCCTTGCTCCACGAGGACACAGGGCGACCAGTGGGGAAGGCCAGAGGGGATCTGTGCAGCTCAGGAGAGAAGACTGGGGCCATTCTTTTGCTCATTCCTTCCTCCATCCTTTAACATCCATCTACTTATACGCCCTCTGTTTCAGGGCCCACCTCTGTAGGGGAGCCACTGTGATCGGCTCCACTGGCCTAGGGAAAAGAAGGGGGTGGGGGGTGGGGGGGCCAGTTGTGAGGCTGCTGGTGACTCATGATCCCTCTTCCTCCACCAGACGTCATTGAGGGCCTTGGCTGCCCCTCACCTGCACCTACCACTATCTGCCTTCAGTCTCCACGATTCTCTATCTTGTTCTTGAGGGATTCCTGGATTGGCTCCATAAGATCCCCAGATGGGGTTCCCTCAGGTCCTCCTCTGGTTTAGGCAGCTGGGGGTGGTCTATAGAGCTGCCCTTTCCAGGGGTGGGGGCTGAGGCTCCCAAAAGCCAGAGACAAATTGGGAGGAGCACACACTTTGATGGACACCTCATCTCTCCTGAGTCATATCTGGAATCACCTTTTTAAAGGGACAAGAACTCCCATGGCCTCCCTTAACCTCCCCTTGTACCACTGTCCTCTTGGCTCTGGGCTCCAGCTGTATAGCTTCATTCAGTTCCTTGAGTTCCCTACATTACCTTCTG